ACACACACACACACACACACACACACACACACACACACACGCTCATGAAGTTAGTAAAGCAAGCCCTCCAAGTTCTATTGATTTACATTCCAGCCAGCCAATGGTAGCACATACCTTTAAACCCAGCACTGGGGAGGCTGAGGAAGGTGGATCTCTGAGTTGGAGACCAGCCTGATCTACAGAGAAAGTTCCAGGACAGTCATGGTGACATTGAGAAATGCTGTCTCAGAAAACCAAAACCAACCAACCAACCAGTCAAAAACCCCAACTAACTAGTACCCCATATCCATCCCATGCTCAGGATAGGGTAAAGGGGGACTGTGCCAGCACCCTGGCAGACATAAAGCCAAAGTGTGTAAACATTTAGTCTCCTTCACTTCACACCCTCCCATCTCCTACTGGAACTCATGGAAGCCCGAGACTAGGACCCCAGAATAGTAGGTCACAGACATTGGGGAGGAGGGGACAAGCCAGCATAAGGACAGCAGGGGAGATGGACATGGGCTTCAATTTTCTTCCACGTTGCTGTAGGCAGATGGAGGGTACCAGTCTGCCCTTCACTTCGCTTCCCATGGTTTTAGTTCCTTGGTATCCAATGCTCCTCCTCCCTGGCAGGAGGGAAGGGATTCCAAAGGTGTGACAGGGGTAACAAAATCATCCTCTCTGATCTCACTGTTACATCACTTATAAATTTCAACCACCTGGAGCAGTTATGCAATGAGCTCCCCATGCTACCATTTAGGTCAGGTTGAAAGCAAAGCTGAGACCCCAGGGCTGGGGATAAGAAAGCAAAGACTCAGGGACAAGTTACATTTGTTGTGATTCCCCACAGGATGGGAAAAGTCACCCACCAAGAGTCCCCCAGAGAACAAGCACTGTGTATCTTTACCTTTATGGTTCAACCAATATTAGGAGTCAGGGTTTCTTAATATTAACTAATAATTGTACAGAATTATCAATGTGCCATGTCCATATGCATGTGTCTTTTTCTTAACCAATACAGCCACCCCCCACCCTTGGCTTTTCATTGACTTAGAGTTGTCAAGTAATCTAACACCTAGGATTAAAGTCTCAGTTATTTAAATCATATTTCTAGCTAATATCAAGGTTTTTAAACTACAAGCCTCTCATTTCCAGACAAATGAAAGGTTTTGTTTAAGCAGCTGTCTTTAGAGGGGAGAAGACTTAAGAAGGGTTTGTTATTGCTGAAGTCACTGTGTGGGAATTCGAGGGCTGGTTATGCAGCCTCCAGCTGTGCCAGCTACCTCCTGAAGGCACTACCTGGGCAGAAGGCACTAATCACACACTGGTGAAATTAGAGGTGCCTCCTCAATGTGGGGAAGTGAGGAGAGAGCTGCCTTAGAGGAGCAGGGAGCTGTTGACATCTGTGGGCCTGATGAGCGTTTACACTTCTGAAAACGATCACATGCAACCCCTATTATTACCTACAGCTGACACGGAGAATATGCTTTTAAGTAGATTCAACATGGAGAAGGCTGTGATTATGATGGCTATAATTGATTCAGCAGGACTTGATTTCAATTTGTTGCATGACTCTGGGTCTCACCCATCCTGATGCTTAGTGGAGGAGACAGGACCCCCATCTGAAAGTTTTGTGGTACTGGTGATACTGGGGTTCGAACCCTCAACCTTCACATATGAAGTGCATCCTCCACCCCAAGCAGCACCCAACCTTATTTCTGTAGTGACTCAGGGAACCTTGAGTTCACTGCTTAATCTTGGGAAAGTTATTTTAGCATTCTGATTATAAATTCTCTTGATCTTTAGAGACAAGAAAGCAGACCTCTCTGGGACTCCACAGCATCCTGGATGGAACACACTTAGCGTAGTATCTGGTATACTGCAATTATTTAAGAGACAGATACACAAACAACAATGAACAATTTAGGCAAAGCTAAATAAGCAAATAAAGAGCCACGCTCGACCTGAGCATCCCATCAGTATCTGCACACCACACTGTGCATCAGCTCACTGTGAAGCTGTTTGCTTCCTAAACCAGAGATGCTCTGTACACGCACAGCAGGGCTCAGGTACACGGCCTGCTCCCTGGGACTCTGCTCTCCCAGATGTGAAACCCCGATTCATTTTCTTTTCCTTTAAAGTCAACTCTAAGGTTACCTGAGATGTTCAGATGGCCACCATTCACTCTGTGGTTTTCAGTGACTTGGAAGAAATACTCCAGACTACATGGCATCTCTTATAGCATCTTGTGAGAGTCTGGCTCATGCTTCTCTCCCAGAAGGAAGGCTCTCTTTAGCACCACACAGGAGGTGGCCCCTTTCCTCATCTGCCCTTCTCCTTGTCCTGTCCTGCCCATTCTCAGGCTCACACAGGCCACAGGCCACAAGGACAGAGGTTGCTAGAGGAGAGAAATATCCCAACTTTGCTTCTCTTGTTTCCCACAAAGGGAAAGAGTCCACTCTATCCAACCTCAGAACATGTCTTTCTGTCTCCAGGGACACTTCCACTCTCTCCTTCATGCCTGCTCGGCAGGAGCCAGCACTAGGATTTTAGTGCAAGACTTGCTTGTCACTCACATGCTATGTAAACCACCGGGAACAACCTCAGCCTCTCTGGCCCTTAAGTTCTTCACCTGTAAAATGAAGGGGCTGGGCCAGCCAATCCCTTTGGCCATGTATACCTTTCTTTCATTTGGCAACTGTTTCTGTGTGGCCTGATACTTCCACTAACTCTATTTACACCAAGCACTTGCATTCCTTTTTTTAAGGGGAAAATTTGCCCCTTCTCAGGTAACCTTAGAGTTGACTGCCAAGGCAGCTCCCATCCCCCCCTCCAGCATTTCTTCTGGAGGATGCCTAGGAGAGAGCTTTATGCAAAGCAAACGCTTCCTGGTAGTGCTCAGACAGGTTTCAGGCTACACTGGTGACAACCGTCTGAACGGCAAAAGCGCATGTCACTTTCTTGGTCCTTGAAATCCTGGCATCACTGTGAACCCTGTCCCAGGAAAGGAGAGGCTTGCTTGGTGGTGGGGAAGAGTGAGGAGCACAGACAATGGATCTGTCTCTCTTCCTTGCCAAGTGGCTAGCTGTATTTTTCTATGTTCACAGCAGAGGATAAAGCCAGTTGTATCACGTTTTGTCAGCTCCACCTCCTGCAACATGAAACTATAGCAAGAAACATACCCGCTGTCTGTCCAGTAGATTCTCCGGCTGATCCAGTCCACAGCAAGGCCTTCTGGTGTGTCTACCCCTTCCTTGATAATTCTTTCTCGCTGGGAGCCATCCATATTAGCTCTCTCTATCCACTTCAGGGCTTTCTGTGCAAAATATATCTGTAAAAGAGAACTAGGCATTTTTGATTTGTTTTCTAAGTATTAATGTAGGATATACATAAAGGAGATTAACCCGTCTTCGGGTCATTCATTGTAATTATTATTGGAGACAGACATTATCTACAATAAGCCCCAACTGTGCTACTCCTGAATATGTGTAACCTTAAGCAACTTAATCTCTGTGTGGTGATTTGAATAAGAATCTACCAGCCCCATAGGCTCATGGATTTGAATGCTTGGCCACCAAGCAATGGCACTGTTAGGAGGTGTGGCCTTGTTGTAGTTAGTGTGTCACTGAGGGTGGGCTTTCAGGTTTCACATGCTTAAGCCAGGCCTAGTGTCTCTCTCTCTCTTCCAGCTTCCTACCAATCTGGATGTAGAACTCTCAGCTATCTCTCCAGCACTATGTCTCCATGTGTGACATCATGTTTCCTGCTATGGTGACAATGGACTGAACATCTGAACTCTAAGCCAGCACTAATTAATTATTTTTAATAAGAGTTGCTGTGGTCATAGTGTCTCTTCACAGCAATAGCACATTGACTAAGAGAGAACTTGGTACCCAGTGTCTCTTTCTTTTTTGCTGTCTGCAGATCCAAATGTAGAAAGAACTCTCAGCTCCTTCTCCAGCACCATGTCTGCCTGCATGCCACTGAAGGAACCGGCTTCCCTTTTGGGAGTCATAAGAGCA